TCTTCCAGGTGTAACTGGCTTTTGGATTTTGAGTCTGTCGCGAGATCCTACCTCTTCAATTTATTGGAGATGAGAAATCGCTGCCTATTTTGCTCAGCCTCTGGTTCTTTGGTTCTGGTTTATGACCTGTAGGCACTCAATCTTGGCATAGCAGGAAGAACAACTGATTAGAACAATTATGTCACCTTGGCTAAATTAAAATAGTACAGTCATCAGTAACAGTAGCATAAACCTAGCCTAGGAGAAACAAACTGTGGTAACTATTAATATGACACTTTTATCTGTATGAACTATATTTGTGATTGTGTAACAAAATCTAAAACAAACTCCAAAATTGTGTACAGTAAGTATACCCTCAATATGGCAATTTTATCCTCAGAAGAGAAAATATAAAAGGAGTTATGGAAAAAAATAGAGAAATAGAAAAGAATAATACTAGAAGCAAGGGAAGAGAAGAAAGGAAAATTATATGAGCTTTGTAAAACGTATAAAGATAGGAGGGAAAGAGAAGCAAGAAATAAAAACAGAACAAAACAACAAAAAAAACTTGAAAGAATGATCACATTCATATAAAAACAACAAATAAGAAGCAAACAAACAGAAACACTCAAAAGAAAAAACAGAAAATAAATTCTACTTCAGGGCGTGTTTCTGCTGTCACAGGTAGAGTGGGGAGCCCAAGCCCAGATCCATGTAGATTAACATTAGTAGGCCAGGTACAGATTTATGGTGGGGTAATAGATAATCCCAGCAAGCCCGCACCTTTGGTTCCCCTGAATTCAGGCTGGTTTCTGGCTGTGAGGCTGGAGCCCAATTCGATCAGCCTGCCACACTCAGTGTGGCTCCTTGACCTTCTGGTGACTTCAGCTGAATCTTACCTCACCCTAACATGGGAAGCTGCTAGATGGTGCCAGGCTGCAGATGCTCTGCATTCCAAGCTCAGTTGGCCCCTCTCCAATATGGTTACCAGCCAATTGCCCTCTTGTGGGGGGCATCTGAACCCAAATAACTTAGCAGCCACTGCAGTCTGCTGTGCCCACTGCTGTGTTCCAAGGTGGAGACCTCTGGGGTTGCCAGCAGTCACGGTGTATCTGCAGTTTGAGCTGCCCCTTCTGATACAGGGGAATGAAACTCCCAACCTACCGTATGTCCAGAACGAGTTCGTGTTCTCTAAAATCAAAGAATGAATTTTAGGAACAACGAAGGTTAAGAGTAGAATAGAAGTATTTATCAAGAGAAAGAAAGCTTCTGTCTGAGAGAGAGACAGGAGGGGATCCCGACAGGTTGCCAAAGATTTTGTATTTTCTCGAGATTTTTTTTTTCTTTCTTTCTTTTCTTTTTTTTTTTTTTTTTTTTATCAGTACCAGGGATCGAACTCATGACCGCCTGCTTGCAAGGCACGTGCTTATGCCACTGAGCTAAATCCCTAGCCCCGTTTCTCGAGATTTTTGTAAGAGTAAAACCATGAGGTAAGGCAGATCTAAACTGGGAAAAACTGGGAACTCGCTATGTTTAGCTAATAAGATTAACAGCTCAGGTAAAATTGATTAAATTGGGAACAAATGGGCAGCAAGTCACATAAAAAGTGGGCATTCTTAGGGATCAGTGACTCTTCCTACAGAGGGTTGGGATGGTGACTCCTGTCTTCTCAAAGAGATCCAGATTTAATCCTTAAGGATTATACGAAAAGGTGTGGTCCCATTTGTTTTGCCTTCTGCCCTGAGAGATATAGTCCACAGCAAGAGGTGTGTGTCTCCTCCAAGGTCATCAGACATCTGGTCCTCTGTGCCGTCTTCTTGGGGGCGGGGCCTAGCCCCCTGTCTGACTGCCTATAATTTTTCTAACTAGCTCAGCTGCCTGTACCACTTCCATACAGTCAATCAGACAGAGCTTAGTGAGAAAGTGATGCTTGCCACCTCCTCCTTTTGCATTGAAATCTCTCTTTGGTCTCCCTGTTGGGCTTCAGTTCTTAATTCAGATCCTTGCTGGGTCCCAGGATCTACTTAGCTCCTTCCTTCTCTTCTTCATATGGCTGTATTCCAATGTCCGGACACCTAACCTCAGAGAGGCTGTTTCTTCCAGTTATGGATTGCTCTTAACCTGTGGTATTCAGTATGGGGCATTCACCACTTGTGGCTGTTGAGCTCTTGAAACATGGCTAATGCAACCTGAGAGCTCAATTTTAAATTTTATTGTCTTAATTAGCCTAAATGTGAACTCAGATGACCACATGTGACTCTTGACTACTTTATTCTGTAGAGCAGATACAGAGCCTAGAAGTTAGGAACATATTGAATAGTTCCATCAGGTATGATGGTGGTGTATACCTGTAATCCCAGCACTCCGGAGGCTGAGGCACACTCAGGATTGCTGCAAGTTCAAGGCCAGTATGTACTACAGAGCAAGACCCTGTTTCAAAACACAACAAAACAAACAAGAAAATAGATATTTCAAAGGAAAAGAGATAAGGACTGGGCAGAGTGTGGTGGCAAAAGTACCTGAGCAATCTTAGTTGCTCAGGAGGCCAAGGCAGGAGTATTTCAAGTCTGATCTCAGTTTGGTCAACTTAGCAAGACCCTGTCTCAAACAAACGCAAAGGACTGGGGACGAAGCCTAGTGGTGGAACACTTCCTAGGATGCATGAGGCCCTGCAATGAATCCCAGTACTAAGAAAAACAAAAGTTAGCATACTGCTAAATTCACTTGCAGAAAATTAAATGATGTTGTTCCTTAATACCCCTCACTGGCTCCTCATTGCTCTTGCCATAAAATTTCCAAGCGCAGATTCTTTTACATCTCTAAGGTAGGGCTCTTACGGGCCTGGCCTTCATCTCACCCACCCCTCAGCCATGTGCGCACACACACTCTGTGCACCAGCTGCACTGAACGTCTCAGTTTGTTGAAGGCTGCAGTCTCCTGTCCAGGCCTTCTGTCATGCTGGCACCAAAGCTGAAACAACCTCCTGGGTCCAGGGCCAACTTACTCATGACTTGGGCCTCAGCCTATCCTTCGCTTCAAGAAATCGTCCCTGACCTTTCAAGGGCAGGTTGGGTAAAGTTTGTGTCTTGCGTGACGTAGCACTTTGTACTTCCTTGTCCTAACACAGACGGTGCTATATTGTGCTGTTCTGTTTGTTTGTTAATTCAGGTTTTTTGTTTTTGAGACAGGGTACTGCTGTATAGTCCAGGCTAGCCTTGAATTCACTGTGTAGTGCAGGCTGGTCTCGAATTTGTGGCAATTTTTCTACCTCAGCCTCCTGAGTGCTGGGATTACAGGTGTGTGCCGCCACACCTGGCTGTGCTGGTTGATTTAGTCATTCATGTTTCCCATGAGACTCTCACCCCCAGAGAACCTTGGGCACTGTGAAGCATTTGGAAGAGAGGCAGTCTAGTGTGGTGGTCAAGGCCATGTGTTCTGGGATTGGATTTTGACCTGGTCTCTTACTAGCTGTGCAAACTTTGACACATTTCTTAACCTCTGCACATTAGTAAACTGAGGGTGAGATGGTATCTATTTCACAGCGATGTTTTGTTTTATTTTTGGATAGTGTCTTACTATGTAGCTCAGGCTGGCCTTAAACTCACAGTGATCCTCCTGCCTTAACCTCCTAGGTGCCAGGATTACAGCTGTGCGCCACCACATCTGGCTTCAGAGAGTTGTAAGGATGGAGCAGTTTAATGTATGCAAAGAGCAGGACATCACTGTACAAAGATTTGCAGATGCTCACATCCCTATATAAAACGGTATCAGACTCGTGTAGACATATTCTCCCACAGGCTTTACATATTCTCCCAAAGGCTTTCCTCATCTCTCGATGCTTATAATAACCAACTGCAATGTGAAATAGTTGAGACTGTTGCTTAGGGGATGACAAAAATCTGTGTATGTTCAGATGTGTTAAAATAAAAGTGTTAATAAAATGCTTTTCTTTTTCAATTTGGAGACTGGATAAACGTACAGTATAGAAGGTCTGTTCAGTTGGGGTCTGCAGCAGAGAGGCAGACTTGGGAAGGTTTGCATGTTGAGTTGCAATGTCACTGGGGTCAACAGTGATGTCCTGCAGCTGGTGGCACAGCCTGTTCTGGGACTCAGGACAGGGTTCTGGGCTGAGAGGATCCCATTTGGAGTCATCTGCCCTGCTTCAGGGTTAGACAGGCCAGCAAGAGGGATGGACAGAGAGAAGAGGGACAGGCAGAGATGATACATGCAGGGGCAGGAGCGCAGCTGACGGGACGGAGCTGGAGGAATAAAGCCAGAGTCACAGTGGGGCAGGCGCCCAGTGCAGTCACAGCATAGGAAGCGCAGCAGGAGGGAAATTCTAGAAATGTATCCTGAGTTTGGCCTGAGGAGGTCACCAGATGCCTGGCCATGGGCAGTTCTCATTGGCGGTCAGGCAAGAGTCAGCCTGCTGGGGCAGGGAGTGGTGAGGAGGTGAAGATCACAGGGACCCCTTTTAGAGTGGCGTAGCTGGGACACTGGTGACCGATGGGGGTTTAGCAGGGAGTGTTTTATTGACAGTACCAGAGGAAGGCAGGGGCTTGTGCTGGCGGTGAGCAGTGGGTTCCCTGGGGCTCGGGGAGGGGTAGATGCCCACTGTGACCAGGGGAGGTAGACTTAAAGGGTGAGTGTGTCTCTTTGGGGGTGGCCCCTGTTCTCTTGGTAGCAGGACAAAGATCCAGAGGAGGATCTAAAAGCACTGGGTGCACAGTGGCCTCCCAGTCAGCTTGGCTGTGTGAATCATCAGGCAGATGTCACAGGTTGGGTGCCCAGGGCCACAAAGCAGGCATTGGAAGCTGAAGAGACTCAGCTAGCTGGGAATGAAGCAGGCCAGAGGGCAGACTTGGCAGGAGGAGGTACGGGGACATGGGCTTGGTGATAGATGGGACCAAAGCCTGGGGCTCCCCCCCTTTGGCCATCTTGCATACACTGCCCCAACCCAAGGCCACCCAGGGCCGCTCTGCTCCGTTCTCCAGTAACTCTCCTTGCCCTGCCCCATCCAGTTCGCTCTCAAGACCCCAGCCAGCGGCGGGTGCTGGACCGGGCAGCCCGGCAGCGTCGGATCAACAGGCAGCTTGAGGCTTTAGAGAATGATAATTTCCAGGACGACCCCCACGCAGGTCTCCCTCAGCTCGGCAAGAGGCTGCCTCAGTTTGATGATGATGCAGACACCGGTGAGGAAGGGGATGAGGTGGCCCACGTGGGGACTGGGAGGACACTGGGCGGGAGGCAGGTGACTTGGGAGCTCCTGGCTGTACCCGGTTCAGGCTCCTGGGGCTGTGAGCAGCCACTCTCCCCTGCTGTGTCTGCTTCCTTGTGTGTGACAGTGAAGAAGATACATAGATGATTGGATGTCAGTCTTCAATTTGGAGTGTGTGGAGGTGACAGCGGGCCAGGATTAGAGAAGTAGCCGTGAGGAGCAAAGGCTCGTAGGGAGGGACGACTCAGACCCAGGTGTCTAGGAGTAGGGAGCTGGAGGAAGGTGGTGGCCTTCTCCGCAAGTGGCAAGCAGCTCACTGCTTTTGGCCTTTAGGAAAGAAAAAGAAGAAAACTCGTGGTGATCACTTTAAACTTCGCTTCCGAAAAAACTTCCAGGCCTTGCTGGAGGAGCAGGTAAGAGAGGATGGGGGTAGCATGGGGGGAGTCCGGCAAGGGTAGGCGCGCTGGGACCCCAGCCCCAGGGGTGTAAGCTGCATAGCAGGGGCAGCTGTCCCGTTTTGTCTGCAGAACCTGAGTGTAGCTGAGGGCCCCAACTACCTGACAGCCTGTGCCGGGCCCCCATCCCGGCCCCAGCGCCCCTTCTGTGCTGTGTGCGGCTTCCCTTCCCCATACACCTGCGTCAGCTGCGGTGCCCGCTACTGCACTGTGCGCTGTTTGGGCACCCACCAGGAGACCAGGTAAGCCTGGCTGCGCCCGCACCCACACCCGCACCCCACCCACAGCCTCCCCACACCCCTCCCACAGCCTCCCCACACCCCTCCCACAGCCTCCCCACACCCCTGACGGCTCTTCTCCGGGGCTCGCTCTGCTCTGCAGGTGTCTGAAGTGGACAGTGTGAGCTTAGTGTCCCTGCAGAGGAAGCCTCGGCCCACCACCAGCCTCTGAAGAACACGACCAAGAGGGGCACCCCAGATGGAGCAGCTGCTCACTCACCCAGAAAGCTGTGTCCTGCCCTGGAGACCGGCTTCCTCAGGAACTGTGCAGGGGGCCAGCAGCAGAGCGCCATCAGAATAAAAGGCCTGGTGGCAGGAGCTTTCCTGCTCAGTTTTGTTTTGCTTTGCTTTTTGGTTTTTTGAAACAGGTCTCACTCTGTAGTTCAGGCTGGCCTTGAACTCACGGCAGTCCTGCCTCGGCCTCTTGAGTGCAGGGATTACAAGTGATCCCTACCTTCTTGGTTTTGCAGTGTCCAGGGTCAGGAACTGTCACTCTTCTCACTGCTCTGTCTTCCTCTGACCTGCCATGCACCCCTTCCATTGTCTGCCCCTTAGTGTCCCTGATCAGGAGAGATTTGGTCCCATTCTCCTATCTCTGCCTCTCTCGGTGGCTGCTTTGTTTTGTGGTTATTGATCTAGGTTTTTATTTTTTTATTTTTCTGTCTCTGGCTCCTCTGAGTATTTTCGAAGTACAGCCAGATTCCTGGGTGACAGGAAGTGGGGTGAGGGCCGGGAAACAGGCACAGAATAAAGCTGCAGAAGGAGCTCTTTGTCACCTGGTGTTTAACCAAATGGCTCCTTGCCTCGGTACCACCAGTCTGAGGGAGGACTTGTCCTTAGGAAGCCCTTGTTGTCTTCCTAAGGGTGGTGTTGTGTGGTGGTGGTGTGTGTGGACCCCAGAAGTTCCAGGAAGCACAGGGGCAGTCCTGCCTCAGTGACCCTTTGGCAGTAGCCCGTCTCAGACCCCACTTGTTAAGTGGGTAGCAGGCTCCCTGGAGTCATTGGTTGAACACTTAGTAAAACAGAGGCTTTGTATGTGTTGAGCAAATGAGGCACAGCCAGGGAGGACAGAGCCAGGCCCCAGGGGTCTCACTGCTCTGATGCTGCCTGGTTCCAGGAAGCACAGACCATACCCCACCTAAACTAGAACCTCCCCCGCCCAGCTCACCACCATCCTCAGAAGGAGGGGAGAGGAAGTTAGTGCCAGGGTCTGAAACACTGAGATTGGAGACTCCTAGAGGTGCCCCCCCAATCACATTTAATTGAATTAGGAGAGCTAAGAATTCTGGGAAGCCGGGCAGTGCATTTTCAGCTTTGGAGAAACCCTGGCTCTTAGCAGTTGTAGACAGGTCTTTTCACCTCTCTGCCTCTGGATAGCCACCTCTCAGATTATGGCAAGAAAGAAACTGTCGCTTACCCAGTGCCCTTAACCTCATAGCCATATTAAAGACATACCTAAGTGCTCCACTGCAGGACTCCACTCAGGTTAGCTTCCTGGCAGGAAGTGGTGGAGCTGGTACAGGCTAGTGGGCAGAGGTTGAAGAGAGAGGGAGGGGGCTGCTGTCAGGGGCTCCCTGAGTGACTGAATGGTCACTAGTCAGTGCTCAGAGGACACACTGGCCTGGGGCCCTGTTCCTCTCCTCCCACTGCATGCTTTCTCTGTCAAGTGGGTACCAGTGCGAGGCTGCCCACAACCCAGAACCTGGTGCAAGCTTGATGTCACCAAGCCTTGTACACACACGGATCTTCAGAGCCTCTTTTGGAAGTTATTAAACTGCCCAAAGAAACACGTTTGCATTGACCCAGCTTATCTGGAGCGAGCAGAACTCCAAAGGGGTCACCATCCCTGGCATCCATGCCCACGACCAGTAAGCAAACTGGTCACCCAGCTGCAGCCGTGAGAAGACAAGTGCAGAGTAAAGGGGGGCTTCCCATATCTACCCCCTTGTGACTTAAATTATTGTCACCTTCTTGAAATCACTTCTAACACTTGTGTTTTGCCAAAGGAGACAGCCTGACAGCCACCTCTTGTCGGGCTGGGCACTTACTGACAGCCTCATACCCTGAGGAATCTCAGTGTACATTTATTTGTGCTTGTATTTATAAAGAATACACACGATGGCAGCCGCCTCCATCCCCTCGGCCCCAGAAGCGCAGGTAAGTTTTCAGAAGCCATCCTGGCCCGGGTGAGGGGCATGTCCTGGATGTGGCTGCCAGACAGGGGGCATGGCCTGCCCAAAATTATTCCAGGAAGCATGGACGGGATCCATGGGTTCCCCTCTCCCTCGGCGGCAGTGGAAAGTACAGGCCACAGCTCCTACACATAGGCATTTTTGCCGTATTTGCCAAAGCTGATATCGCCTTCTTCCTGCGAAGCTGGGGAGGGCATCTGGACTGTGGATGCTCTGTAGGGAAGCTTGGCCCTGTGGGGAGTGGGAGAACTGGGTCACAGGGAGGCCTAGCTCTCACTCCCACCTGCCACACTGTCCACCCCTCCCCTACCTGGTGACACGGTCCTCTTTGGAGGCGCAGCAGCAGTTGGAGCAGAGGCAGATGCCACCCAGGATAGAGAGCAGGGAGGCACTCCAGCCCAGGTAGAGGGCAGGGCCCAGCTCATACCTGGGCACCAGGGTTGATGGGAAGGGGACAGAAGTGAGCACCAGCCCTGGGCACTGCAGACCCACCAGCTGCCCCCGAGGGTGGGCTTCTCACTCACTTGGTTCCAGCATACAGAGGGTTAAAGAAGTCCTGGAGGATGTTGATTGCGTACCAGGTGATGGCCACCATCCCACAGATCCCTAAGAAGCAGGAAGACTGAGAATGCCCTTAACTACAGCCCAGGTGGGCGATTAAGGGCTTGGGAAAGAGGGCAGCCAGGGGGAGTGGGTCATGAGCCACATTGCATTCAGTTCCTCTCCTGCTGCAGCCTATGAACCCTCCTATTCCTGGGTCAGCTATAAACTTGGGTACTCAAGCCCCTATCCCAGCCTACCCCCTCCCACCATTCGGGCCCAATCCCCAGTCTCTGTCCCGGACCAGACTTGTTTATCTGTACTTGGAGCCGTGTCACTCCCTCCCTCACCTGGAACTGTCCCGGTCCTCCAGGCCTCCAAGGCCCACCTGCCCCCAAAGTCTTCCTGGCCTACCTCACTGCAGTCCCTTTCCCTTGGTGTCCCAAAGCCCTGCGCTGTCTTGACCCGCTCACTGGGGGGCTGTTCTCCAGAAAGCTAGCTGACCTTTCTGACAGTTCCCACGCTACCTGGCAGCTTACTGAGAGGCCATGTGTGCACAAGTGTGCCAACTTAAAATCTACTGCCAGTCAGTGGCACTGTTACTACATGCAGTGTGTTTGCATGCTTTTACACACACACACACAGCTCCCCCTCCCACACCTGACACCCTTCTGCTTCAGTAAGACCCAAGAAACGCTGTTGATGACTGAAACAGATCCCAGACATGGCATGTACAGATGGGGTGGGGCGGGGTGTATGGAACTGAACGGCAGAGGACAGGTATCAACGTGTGGGGAAGGCAAGGCAAGACTCAGCCTCAGGAAGCTGGACGTGAGGGCGGAGAATATGAGGGCTGCCCTGGGCCCTCTTTCCCAGTTACCTGCCAGTATGTGGAAGGTCCCCCCGGTGGCCCCCAGCTTGGCTTTTGTGGAGGGCACCATGCTCCCCATGCTGATGCAGCGCAGTCCCAGGATCCCTAGGAAGAGGCCCAGGAAGCCCAGGAGGATGGCGGTGATCATGAGTGCACGGCAGCCCTGGATATAGCCTAGCAAGGGGACACAGCTGTCAGCCTTTCCCCTCCACCAGAGCCAATCCTGTCCAGCTCCTGCTCAGGCTTGGTTTCTTGTCTGTCCTTTTTTCCCTTCCTTCCTTCCTTCCTTCCTTCCTTCCTTCCTTCCTTCCTTCCGTCCTTCCTTCCTTCCTTCCGTCCTTCCTTCCTTCCTTCCTTCCCTCCTTCCTTCTTTCCATACTAGGGACTGAACCCAGGGCCTAGTCACTGAGCTAAAGGCCCACCCTACTCCCCTTTTCAATTTTGGGATAGGATTTCTTAAGTTACTGAATTGCCCAAGCTGGTCTCGAACTTGAAGTCTTTCTGTCTCAGCCTCCCAGAGTGCTAGGATTACAGACAGGCATATACCACCAAACCCACAGCCTCTAAGCCTCCCTCCTTATGCATCTTGGCCCTCCAGCCTGCATCCCCCACCCCCAGGGCGTCTCCTAGACTGCAGGGCACTTTGGGCCAGATGCTTGGTTTTGGGGGACTGTCCTGTGCACTGTAGGACTCGTAGCATACTTGATCTCTACCTACTGGATGCTTGCAGCAAGCTCCCCTTTTCCCCCAAGTCGTGGCAGCCAAAGTGCAGTCACCCCACGTTCCATCGTGTGTTGCAGAAAGTGCCTCTAAGCACCATTCCCTGTCCCCACATCTGATCCCTTTCCAGTCCACACAAAGCACAGCGAAATGCAAACATCTTGACCTGAGTTTCTCCCTTGAGTGACCAGCAGGGGGCAGCAGTGGATGCAGCAGAGGGTCAAGGGAAGTTTCCGATCCAGAAAATGGGATACCTGAGCCCTGGAAAATCCAAGTTGGTCTAGCCCATTAGTCTAGCCCAAGTTGGTCCAGCTCAGTTTCCATATTATCACAAACAAGGAGAGCTGTGGGCTCTTTCTCCCTTCTGTCTTTGACTATTGCCCAGCATTCCTAAGGACTCTGCACCCCTTTCCTGGCTGGGGCAGGAACATGGGTGCTGAAGGGGAGACTGGGTCCCTGCCAGGAAAAGAAGCAGCAGCTGGAGCTTGGGGTAGGCAGGAGGGACAAAGTGCTCCGGGAGGATGTTCTGACTTCCAGCCACTCTCTTCAGTTTCCCCCAACTCTGAGTCTGCAGGGAGCTCTGGTGGCCAAATGAGAGAACGCTGCGGGGCTGAAGTGACCTCATGGAGGAAATGATTGGGCCCTGAGCTCAGGTGCAGCCAGTGGGGTCTCTGTGGTCCCTTCCCCCTCTGTGCCACTGGGCAGTAGCTGTAAAATGCGGTAACAGCGTCCAGCCAGTGGCAGAGTGGCCGCAGGGACCTCACACGTGCAGGCAGCAGTGCTCAGGGAATGCAGATCTGTCCTCTTGCAGGCCTATGGCATCAGTGCCACACAACACCTCTTGGGGACACAGACTCACACAAAAAGCCGGTCTCGCACCACTGTGTATAAGTGTTGAGTGCAGCGGTATGGCCAGGCTACTAAGCTAACCGCCACCACTGTCCCTTCTGCCACTCAACCCAGACTGGACTGAGCACTTTTTTTTTTGGCAATACGGGGCAGGGGAGAGCTGAATCCAGGGATGCTCTAATACTGCGCTGCACCACCAGTCCCCAGCCCGTCTTTTTATTCTTTTTGAGACAGGGTGTCTGTAGTTCAGGCTGATTCTGAACACACTATGTTGTAACCCAGGTCAGCCTCAAACTCACAGCCATTCTCCTGCCTCTGCCTCCTGAGTGCTGGGATTATGGTGTGTGCCACCTCATCCAGCTGGATCAAACTTTACTGTGTTTTGGGGCCACTTGTCCTGCACACAGGAAGCACTGGAGACTGATGAAAGCATGAAGCAGCTAGGAGAGGGAAGAGATGGGGAGTTGTGCGGCTGCTCAGCACCTTCGCCATTCCCAGGGCAGTTCCACCAGCTCTGCCTCCCACCAGTGCTGGCTTCCGCTCCTTCCCACCTGCCACCACCTGGCTCTCAAGGACCAGTAGGAGATGTGGGGGTGAGTGCACCAAGAGTTCATGGTCATCAACTCTTGGTCTCCACCAAGAGACAGGGGCAGACTGAAGAAGCCTCCAGGGGAAAACGGTAGGGCCAGTGCTAAGGGGTGAGCAGGAGCCGCAGCCATCAGAACTTTTCGGGGCTAAACAGGAGCTCTCAGTGGCAGCACTCTGATTTGGGGAACATGGTGCCGAGAAGTTCAAACAGATCTGCAAGTCCACACATCACCTGTTCACGGTAGACACCCCACCTACAAAACGCTCCCAATACAACCAGGCCTCGACTCAGGTGCACCAGCACTCAGCCTGGCAAAGAGGTGAGGCCCACGGACACCTGGGGACACCACCGAGACCTCAGAGTATCACCACCAACAGTCCAAGGCAAAGCCACCTGCTGAACCCCGCAGGCCCACCCCAGGATAAAATACTAGAATCCATCCTGTGCACACAAGCAAATGGAGCGAGGGGCTGCAGGCTTTGCCACATGCGGTCCTTACAACCACCTGCATGTGGGCTACTGCTGTTGTTACCCCAAGCTTGCAGATGGCCCAGACGAACCTCATGTGTCGCCTGCCTGAGGCACAGAGCTAACAAGGCAGGAGCTATGCCTGGCAGCTTGATTCTGGTGCCCGTTCCTGTACCTAGCAGAGGGCTGTGTGTCACAAGCTCTCATATCCAGGGCAGTTCATCCCCAGGACTGCTGGCTGCTTCAGTGAAGGACCCAGAATTTGATCCCAGCCTCCCTGTATCCTTAGGGCACCCAAGGCCGGACCAAAAGCAGCTGCCATGTCCTCCTGAGGTCTCCCCACCCTCTACCTCCCTCTGTTCCCCAGGGCAGTCCCAGCCTGTACCAGAGAGGGCCAGCATGGACGGGAAGTCCCAGCAGTTGGAGACACCCAGGGAGTCGGTGGCACAGCTATACCAGAGGTTCTCGTAGATGGTGTTGGTGGTGATGACATTCCCATGAACGGTGGACACTCTCCAGTAGCTGTTTGGCAGGGTCACCCCCAGCATCAGGAGCCCCAGGGCCGCCATGAAGAAGCCAAAGATCTCCACAGCTAACGACATCCTGGGCTGCAAACCCCAAGGGCCTGGGGCCCCAGACAGGGGCAGGATGGAGCTGGGTCCCCTGGGGAACTTCGTGTGGCTCTGGCCAAGAACGAGTGTTGAGGCAGGAAGAGAGGAAAGAGTGGAAGTCCAGTGGCCTCCGTCCGCCTCCTCCTCCGGCTCCGGTCCGGCTCCGGTCCGGCTCCAGGTTTCAGTCGCCCTCCTTCCTGGGTCACCGTGCTTCCCAGCAGGTCAGAGGCATTTGGCAGCTGTTGACAGGAGATGGAGAATAAATGGCCAAAAGTCCACCTCCTCCCCCAGCTTCTGGGCTCTGGGTTCTCCGCCCCATGAGGGTGGGGGAGCAGACCTACCCAGGAGACTAACGGATAGGCCAGGAGGGGCCCCCACGGGAGGCACCGGGCTCCAAAGGGAAGCGGCTGTCTGTGACTCACTTTCATGGGGGCCAGAGAATGGAGTAACACAGAAGGAGAGGTGAGCAAGGGACAAGAGGAACAGGAGACAGAGAGGAGAGGGACAGGAGACAGAGACGAGAGGGACAGGAGACAGAGAGGAGAGGGACAGGAGACAGAGATGAGAGGGCCTCAGGAAGACACAGACGGACTCCAGCAGACTCACTGCAGCCTTCCTGTGAAGTGGGGCAGGAACCCAGCTACCTGGCATGGTGAGAGGCATTCAAGACACTCAGGGCTGGGGGCTGGGGATTTAGCTCAGCGGCATAAGCACCTGCCTTGCAAGCAGGTAGTCGTGAGTTCGATCCCTAGTCGTGAGTTTGATCCCTGGTACCGATAAAAAGGAAAAAGAAAAAAAAAAAAAAAGACACTCAGGGCCTTAGGGGTTGGGACACTTGGGTCTCCTGACAAATGATAACTGAGGGGACAACTGGGAAAGACCAGTGGCTCAGCTGGGGGTTTAGCTCAGTGGCATAAACGCCTGCCTGGCAAGCTCAAGGTCATGAGTTCAATTCCCCGTACTGAAACAAAATAAGAGACCCCTGGCTGTTGAGTTTAGCCAACCTGGACTCAAACTACATTGCATCACTTTCCAGGGGCCTGGGCTGCTCCCTTCTGCTTCTGCCATTGGCCTCACTGATTGTCACAGAATTAGGACCACCAATCCCTGCACATCTCAGGATTTCCCAGATCTCAGTACTGCAGGGAGAGGGGAGCCACTATTGTTTTGTTTCTCCACATTTCCTGAACTTGAATTTCCCCCTCTTCAAGCTGACCTTTGACTTGGCACCGAGCTTGATTTTGCTGCCAAGGGGCTGGTATGGCGCGGGGTGGATCAGAGGCCCAGGACATGGTCCCTGTGGCTAATCTCACCAGCTCAGTGCCAGGGACTATTACCAGACTTAATTATTATGATAGATTAGAAGGCTCTGGGCCCCACCCCAAATCAGACCAAGCACCTGTCCTGGTGCAACCTCTTCCATTTCCTGCCCTTAGACTGGAGCTGGGACAGCTCTGCTGCTCTCCAGGCAAGGGGCACTGGGGCTCGGTCCCTATGAGGAGACAGTGCATCCCTCCTTTCCTGCATCAGCTCCCTGCCCGTTCTGTGCCTCCTCCCTACCATGGCCTGGCAGCACTGCGGAATGAGCGGTATGCAGTGATGCAAATGGGCCCACGCGCAGCCTGGCACGAGGGGGCGTGGGGCAAGCCTGGCTAGGTGGAGCCTGGGTTCCCTGTCCATGGGCTGCAACCTGGTGCACCCTCATCAAGACACCTGCCTGCTCCACACCAAGCCAGCTTCTTTCCCACCACTGCCAGTCCCCTATTCCCCTAAGGGATGGGGCGGGAGGAAGGGGAGGGCACGGGAAGACAAAGGGAGGGTAGGGCGGAGATTTGGACGAAGCCCATTGTGGGCTCCTGGCATGGAAAACTCCACGGGCCAAGAGGCAGCTGAGTGGGTCAGAGGAGACTAGAGTCATAAATCCCAGGCTGGCCACTCAGCCTGGCAGCCTCCCCCCCTCAGGTCACTGTTCGGTCCCAGGACTTTGGGGCCATTGAAAGGCCACGTCTCTGTGCTGTCTGACACTGCTCAAGGACATGGCTTTGGGGAAGGGAAGGAAGGAAGGGTGTGGGCCCCACATCAGCTGGAGGGCAGAAGCAAGGGGGCACAGGGCAGGAAGGACCACAGGTGACCCCAGCGTGCACAGCAAACCCCCCTCTCTCAAATCAGACATGCAGTTCTCAAGTTTGGCTCAATTTTATTTACACTCATCCTAAAGCACATGACTCAGGGCTGAACAACGGGTCTCAGGGAAGTGGAGGTGGGGGTCCCAGAGGACAATGACAAGGGTTCAGGGAGAACAGGAAGAGGCCCACAAGGCTGGATGGCTCCTCTGCGAAAAGTGCCCTTGTGGGGCCCTGGCAGAGGAGCAGATGCGCCGTCGCCTTCAGGATTTGGATTTGGACACAGCAAGTCCGATCAGTCCAGCCAGTCCTGCCACTCCCAGGGCCATGCCACCAACGATGGCCATGCCCACCAAGCCATCTGGGGAAAGAAGGGAAGGCTGTCAGAAGCTAGGTCCAGCCCCCGCAGGGACCCTGACCATGGCCTCCCTAGCCCGGCTGCTCCGCAGGAGAGGTGCATCCCCACCTGGAGGCTCTGGGTTGGGACCGACAGCTTCAGGAAGGTGGGTTTGATGTGACTTAATGGGGGTGGGGTTCCTTTAAAGACACTGAAGGGCCCAGCATGAGGGGGGGGATTTCACCTTTCTTCATAGCCTTGTCGATGAGCCGTTCCAACTCCTTGGCCTGGTTGTTCTGGGGCTCCGTCTGCAGCAGCCCGCGCACGTACTTTAGGGCCTTTTCATATTCCTACACTCAAGAGAAACCCCCCCACCATAAACACCGTGGGGCTTCAGCACCCCCTTGGCCCACTGGGGCGCCCTCCCTTCTCCTCCCAGCCTCCCCTCGCCCCTCCTCCTGCCATCACTCCAGCCCCGCCCAATGGAGTAGAGTCCACAAACAACCCCAACTGTAAAGGGTGATAAGCCAGGGCCAGGGGAGATAACAGCCCACGGCTTGGGGCTGCACTCCCATCTTGACGTCACCTTGTTCCCCATACCCTCAGCACCCTGATCTTCTCACGTTCCTTTAGAGTCCTGAAACTTGCATGTGTTGACCCGCTACCACTGCTGCCTGGCGGAGTCCAACCAAGTAGGGCAGAGCGCGAAGGAAGTGTGGTGGTCTTACCTTGAGCCGGTAGTTGCCCACAGCCAGGTAGAAGACATAATCCCGCTGCTCTTCTTTGCTCCCTTTGGGCAGCAGCTCTGGGGAAAAGGAAGGAAGAGGGTGAACACTGCTTCTCTCTTTTTCTAATAGTAATCCCAGAGAATCTGCCACTCCCAGAATCCCTGCCGAAGACCGTCCTGGGCCTTCATGTCAGCTCCAGTCCTTCTCAGCTTTCCATTCAGCACTCCAAGGCAGCAGGAGCGGGGGTGCTGCCACAACACTCCAGGGACAGACACTGCAGAATCAATAATACATCTGCCTCCGGTACATCGATGCAAACATGAAATCCAGGCACCAGTGGAGACCAAAGGCAGATCCACTTCCTGTGAACTACAAGGCTGTACTCCCTCCTCTTTATCTCACTGTCACTCAGTGGCTCTAACTGATGCCTTAATTCAGTGACTTCCCAGAGGCTTAGGTGCTTGACAGCCCTGAGGGCCTCAGAGTTTGTTGCTAAGTAGTTTGTAGCTGCCAATACCTCCCCAAGGCCTGTTCTGTCTCGACTACATGGCAATGCTGAGACCACTTAAAATCTAAACTGGCAAAAGATAAATGCAGGATGACAGTATTTTTTATAGCTCAGTGACAGGCTACTATAGTTGTCTTTTTGTATCCTCAGAGGATTATTTCCAGGACCCCTCCTTGGATTCCAAAATCTATGGATGCTTACGCTGCTTATGTAAAATACTGTAACATTTGCATGTAACTTCCGCATGTCCCCCCATATAATTAAAATCATTCTTAGATTATCTATGATACAAAAAATAATGTAAATGCTATGTCAACGGTTGTACAGTTTAGGGAATAATGACAAGAAGATAAAGTACACATGTTCAGCAAGGAAATGTTTTTGTTTCCTCCAAATATTTCAGATCTGAATGCACTTGCAGATGTGGAACCTGCAGATGCAAAGGGTTGCTTGTGTAACCCTTTGCCACAGTGAATTTACTGGTAAGGGACTGTATTATGAGGGGAGGGTCCCATGTATGGAATCTTAGCAATTGAGCTGGAGGGGGAGAACGCAGCCAATGGTGGTAGAGAAGGATGGAAAGGGAAGTGGGGTGGCCTGGAGCCTCACCCTCGAGCAGCGCGATGCCCTTACGGATGTCATCATTGTACTTGCTCCGCACCAGGCACCAGGCGTACTCAAACTGCGTGCTCTTGGACACTGAGCCTGCTGCCTGCTCAGATTGAAATTTCTTCTCAAACTTCTGCCATAGGAGAGGAGAGGAACCATTTAGAGAGGAAGGGTGTCAACCAGTCTCTATCTGACCTGGTGCCCATGTCCCATTACACTCCAGATCTTCCTGGCTCTTCCCGTCTTCCCTCAGGGGTCTTGGTACACAGCATCCCGGAGCCTGCTATCTACGTCCCTAGGACTCTGGCATTTTGTTCTTCGGGCTAACGGGCCAGTTTTCAGACCCACCCCCACTCGGCACCAAGCAGCGATGCCACCTGGTGGTAGCTCCAAGCTCCACTCCCGGAGCAGCTGACCCGAGAGGCTAAACAGTAAACATACTGTCTGAACTGCCCAACAAGCCCATGTAGTCCTCCTCTGGGGCTGCTGGTTCCATCCTACCATGCCCTACCAGGTCTGGACGTTTACTTTATCTTCAAAGTGGGAATAAAAATAATGCCTACCTCCCAGAGTTACAAAGATTGAGATCTGGCATGCAATAAAGAAAGCACCATGCCAGCTTCTATATGTGAAACTTTATGATGGTTGCTATATGCCCCACCACCACCACCACTGAAGAAGTCTCCTGAGCTCTTAACTCCCAGAACCTGTCAGCCGTTCCGAAACCTTTGGACTCCAACAGGCCTTAGGTCTGAGGTGCGAAGTCTTACGAAACTACAACTCCCATTAGCCCCTAGGACAAAGTATACACTTTGAGCAAGAGCTGGGCGCCGCAAAGGCTGCCGGGAGCCGTAGTTAGGGTCCCTTCAAAGTCGAAACTGGAAAGGTTTGGGTGTGCACCACTCTCCTCAGGACCCGCCCTCTGACTCTTCTCTTTGCCTCCCGCGGGGCCAGGCCTCACCATCAGATCATCCACAGACACCAGGTCGTTCAGCACGGCCTCCATGGCCACCGCCCCACAATCCTTACACCACAGCTCTACTGTGCCACAGTATCCATGGTCCAGCGGCAGGGGAGGAAAGGCACTTCCGGCGTCAGGCGGATACCGCCTCCAACCTAGGGAGGCCACGCCCCTTTCTCGGCGCAGTACGCCAAGCCTGAGGCATCAGTGCGCATGCTCAGGCTGTGCCACCGGCCTGCAGGCTGCACAGGGTTGAATAAGCCAGTTTTCCCCGTTTTGGACAGCCTCGACGCCCTAACTTGGGTGCCTACCTCCATCGAGGCTAACCCACGAATGTTCCAGGCAAAATTAATGGTTAACCCCGGGCCAGAATGCCAGAAAAAGGTGGATAGTTTTACAATCCCGTCTCATGCCCCTCCCCCTCAAATCTAAGATGCAAGAGGCCAAGTAACTTAACTCACTAAAACAAAATCCTAACTAGTAGCAGGGTTCCTAGGCCTCTGCAGTCCTGACTACTACCAAGGTTCCTAGAACCTCTACCGACTCTTTTTTTTTTTTTTTATTGTTGTTGGTACCGGGGATTGAACTCTCAACCTCATACTTGCCAGGCAGGCACTTAAAGCCGTTGAGTTAAATCACCAGGCCCTTATGCTGGCTCTTACAATTCAGGAGGATCTGGTGACCATACAACCAGAGATAGGTACATAATGATGGCAATGTCACTAATGGAATTTAAAGAAAAGTTGTCCCATTGCTTGTTTTGTTTTTTTGAAACAAATTGGCCTTGAATACACTATGTAGTCCAGGCTTGCCTCAAACTAATGGTAATTCTCCTGGCTCAGCTTCCCAATTATAGGTGGCATTACAGGTGTGCGCCACTATGCCTGGCCTCAAGTATTATTTTTCTAAACTATCTTCTGAGTGTACCTGAGGGAGAAAGTCTGCCTTTGGGGATTACAAGCGGTGAGGATGAAGGGAGGGGACTTTTGGTGTTTCCTGCCATGATGGGTTATGAACTTCACTTTCTTTTCATCCTGAGCTAATCCTCAATACACAATGGTATGTTTGTTCCATAAGGGCAAGACCGTCTTGTTTATCTAGCACTTAAAACTGGCCCACAATAAACATTCGAATAAATATTTGTTGAATAAACAAAAAATAAAGCAAAATAGTTAGCTATGAGGACAGCACAAATGCTCAGAATAATGCTCTAAACACCTTTTATGCTTGCACATATCAGGAAATGTTCTCCTACCTGGCTGAAACAGTTGAAATGAGTCTGATATGAGCTCAATAACTCTGGCAGGAACTGTGAGTTGAGGAACCGGCTTCCTGATAGAAGCAGAAATAGTTGTTCAAAGATGTATGGAGCATCTAATTTTGAGTGGGCCTTGAGGTTAAACAGAGAAGACAAGAGGAAGCTGACCAGTGAAAATAGGACCAGACCAGACCACAAGACCCAGGACACAGGAAGGCCATTAGGAAGCTCTTTTTGTAGGTCTTCGGTACCTTATGCAGCTCTGTATTTGCTGCAGATCTTATATGTAGGAAAACCTCGGTTTTGTGTCAATGAAGAGATCTGAGCCTGTGTCTCTTCCATCTACTAAGCATACCAAGCTATGTTTTATTGTGGGAACTGGAAGTGGTACCAGCTAATGTTAGCTCCAAATTATGTCTCTGTATCTTCAACTACTACACAGTGCAAATTTTTGTCATCTCTGCTTGGGTGACTTGAATAGCGGCCTTGCTGGGCCCCTCCTGGCATTTGCCCATTACTAGCAATTTACCACCAGTCAGAGGGATCTTATCAAAACACAATTCTCAATTTACCTGAAACCCTTTAATGGCTTCTTACTGTCCTTAGAACAAAAGTAAAAATATGGTAACCTAAGCCGAAGGGTCCTCTATGGTCTGGTCCATAATTCTCTATCTCATATCTTTACCTTTAGCTCTCCCTGTACTCTAGTCCTACAGACCCTTCAATTCTAGGAACCCACCCCCAATAGCCCCAAGCCCCTGGCTTGTAACAGTCTCTATTATCTGCAACATAGATCTTCTTCTTTGCTCATTCATGATGCAATTCACTCAACAAATACTAAGCATCTACTATGTTTTAGGCATCATTTAAGTGCTAGAGATCAGCACTGATAGAATATAATTCCTGGTGTCAAGCAATTTACGTTTCTGTGGACAAAAAAAAAACAAAACAAGTAATTAAACAGGAAATAAAAAACACTGTAACAAATGAGAAATATATACCTGTTCCCTGGCCCAGAACTCTCCAAATTCATGTATTTTCCTCAGTGATGGGGCCAATAGGGTCATCTTATGCAGAGCTCCTAAATCCTTGGGGACTTCCTGATGACAAGAGCAGCTTTTGTCCTATGAAGTGTTTCCTAGTGGGTTCTTGAGCAGCTTCAGGATTGGAGTTGCACATAGACCAAGCCATGATCAAAAGCTTGGAACCTTCAGTCCCTCCAACCTTTATCCTCTAGGAAGGAAGAGGGGTTGGAGATTGATTAATTCATAGTTAATCGTGCCTACATGATGAAGCCTCCATAAAATCCCTCCAGGGTTGAGAGTTTCTTGCTGGTGATCACACACAGGGGCTGGGAGGGTGGTGTGCTGAAGGGGTGCAGACACTTTAAGCATCACCCTGCACCTCCTACCTTGCCCTATGCATCTCTCCTACTCAGCTGCCCTCAAGTTGTATACTACATAACAGATTGCAAACAGTGAAGTAGTCCTGTTAAGGCTTGTATCTAGATGTCACCCCAAAGCCTCATGTGGTCATAGATGAGGCTTTTGCAGAAGAGGCTGGGTCTAGTATTTGTGATGCTGGAATTAAGGGTGTGTGATTACTAAATTAGTCCACTGCTTGCTTTGGCATAGTTTTTTTGTGTGTTTTTAAGACAGGTTCTCACTAAGCAGTTCAGGTTGGTCTTGAGCTGACTTTATAGCCCAGGCTGGTCTCAAATGCTCGATGATCCTCCTGCCTCAGCCTCCCAAGTGCTGGGATTACAGGCATGTATCACCACGCCCAGTTTAGTTTGGCATAGTTCTGAGTGTATAATAGGAAGGCCCTCAATAGGATGTGAGTGCCACCCACCTTAAGGGGATGTAGCTTGGATATACTGTAAGAGACAGAATGAGGGCTGCTGTTGTCACTTGTTTATTGCTGCTGCTGATTGTCTTCTGTGATGTCCCTCTGCCATGCACCTTGCCTTGGAGCCAGCTGACTATGCACTGAAACCTCCACAAACTGTGAACTGAAATAAACCTTTCCTCCTTTAACTTGTGGGTATTAGGTATTTTGCATCAGCAGTGAGAAAAGTAACTAAGACAAGAATGTAAAGGCTTAAATCATAGATGGTGTCTGCAGAGAACCTGGAAATTGTTTGGTATCAGAAAACCCCAAACATTTGGTGTCAGAAATGTTCTTGAGAGTAGAGAAATCTCTTTTCATGTAGACCCAGTACTGCCAAGAATTGAAGAGCTATGAAAACAAAAAGTGAAGGATCTGACGAAGAGGAGGATGCTGCCACCACATAGACCCCATCGTACGCAGCTATCAGCATGGCTATGAGCTTTTTGAAGGTTGGCAAGAGGATCACTCTCTCCTGTCTGCTGGAAGGAGTCTTATGTAGCATAAGCACAAGAATGACAGTCTGTGACAAGGCTCATTCATACTCAAAAGGAGAAAATGTCACAAAGCAATTAACACCAAGAATGGGGCTACCCTAAGTCTGCCTACTGTATTCAGGCAGCAGCAAATGTATTACCCTTTATTTTCTGTAAGATATTTTGGTCTCCTGTAACAAGGGTATTTGGAGCTGAGCCCAGAAGGCTGGTTGAGAAGAGTGGGCAAAAGAAGTGATGGGAAAAAAGACAGCAAGGTAGCCCCAGGCAGGTCAGGGAGGGATCTGTGGGTTCTGGTAAGGCACCTGATTTAACTCCTCCATGTGATGGAAAAGCACGGAGAGCTTGGAGCACTGTTGTGAATGATCCCTCTAGCTGCTGTGTGGACAAAAATGCAGGCACCAGAGTGAAAGCAGGAAGTCATTAAGAGGACCCAGCGTGGCCAGGTGAGAACCATCAGTGACTGGGTGGACCGGATATATGTTCAGAAGGGAAAGTGGGCAGGCCTTGCTGATGTACTGATGTGTGAGAGATCAGACTGTAAGTGAGGTCTTGGCCTGGACCAACCTGCTGAATTCTCAATCTTAAGTTCTCAGCTCACATCCTACTTGTAGGGGAGGCCATCACTGGTACCCTGTGAGAAAGCAGAGTCACCAGGCCTACAGACTTCATCTTTTGCCAGCACTGAGTGTTGTGAATCACTCAGGTATCTGTTTGGATGGGGCCATAAAATCCACTGGCTGGCTAAATCTACTGGTGGTGCATGCCTGTACTCTCAGCACATTGGGAGACTAAGGCAGGGAGATCACAAATTCAAGTTCAGACGCAGGAACTTAGCAAGACCCTGTCTCAAAAAATAAATAAATAGGCCGGAGATGTGGCCTAGTGCAAAGGTCCTGGTCCATCTTCATTACTGCAAACAAGACCAAAAACAAAAAAACAACAAAAACCTTGCTGGGAGCCAGAGATGCTATTCTGCTTTTCCCCACACAATGGAATGTTCATACTCAATATGTGGCCAACAATCACACCCAAGAAATTAGCTCCCTTTGACCCATAGGGAAACTGAGGCTCATGAAGCTTCTGCTCAGTGTCACAGTGCTGGGAGTGGAGGAGCTGGGATTCAAACCTGAGTCCTTCCCTGTACTAAGTTTCTGCTGCCTTTTCAAACAGGAGGAAAGAAGGAACTTCATGCCTAGTGAAGAGGAGAAATCATTAAAGGAGACAAATAAGAAAGGTTGGGGCAAGTTCTTAAGTATATGCTAGGTACTCATATATAAAAATGTAGGCCTAAGTTGGTAATGCTTTTATTGACTTATTGTACTAGACCCATCACCCACTACTTCCTTAACCAGGAGGAAAACTAGGAAGGAACAATTCAGGTTAATGTAAAAACGAAACAGGCAAAGCAACCCTGAGGAACCATTTTTTTTTTTAAGTTAGTAAAGTAGTACATTAAAAATAAAATCCTCTCTATCACCACCAGTTCTCCTGAAACTGTAAGACTGATTTCAATGTCTTGGCTAATTTTGTTCACAGTGCTTTTCATGAGATTAATGTTGGGCTTCTGCCCTAGATCAGAAGCTCCATGAAGGCAGGTCTGTATTTGCTTTGCTGAACCAAGGTCACCAGAGCCATCAGTCTACGTCCAGATTGTAACTGTTGCATAAAGGGACACTGTTGTCATCCTTGCCTTTGAAGGTAAATACAGTATGTAATATAAGGCAACCAGTTAGGTAATATACAGTATGTGATATTATTTGGCTTAGTGATCTTTTTTGGGAAAAGATTCAGTAAAGGGGAAACAGGAAAGATATGAAATATTCATTCCTGTAATACTGGAGAAGGTAAACAACAAAAATGCCAGAGAATGGGGCTGGAGATTTAGCTCAGCAGCATAAGTACCTGCCTTGCAAGCAGGCGGTCATGAGTTCGATCCCTGGTACCGATAAAAATGAAAAAGACAAAAAAAAAAATGCCAGAGAAAGGAATTATTAAGTGGTGATGCATCAATAAAATGGAATACAGACAGGCAATGGAGGCACACACTTGGAATCCCAGTCCTCTGGGGTCCTGAGACAGGAGGACTGAAAGTTCAAGCCCAACCTCAGCAAGTTAACAACTTTCCCAGTCTCTGTCATCAAATAAAAGGGGAAGTAGGTGTTAGGGAGGTAGCTCTTGCAAAGGCCTTGTGTTCTCCAGCGCTGCCAAACAAACAAAAGAAAGTAATAATATGTAGCTTTAAAACAAAATCTCTTTACTGACTTTATGCTAGACTATTAAAAAAAAAAAGTATGTACTTCACAAATTTGGTCATCTGGGTAGGCAGAAAAGACAGTGATCTTTCTGGCTGGTAACACTAGAACCTACAACTAGGTATTTGCAGATTCTGCGCTCGGGGCCCCTCCCAGAGTACATTAGCAGTTGCACCCTGTTCTGGACCCCTGCCCTTCAGCTTGTTACCAGCGGTTAAGACAAGACCAGCAACTATTACTGACCAAGATTCCTGTACTTGTTCTCTTCCAAGTTTCAGTAATGTCTTCTCTACTTTCCAGTCCCACCCACTTATTCAACCAGGAAGTCCCATTCAACCAGAAAGCCTATCAAGAGCAAACTAATTTATTCACTTATTCTTCCACCCATTCAGTGAATACTTATTAAGGGTCTATAAGGGCCAAGCATTCTTCAAACAGATACAATCTTTCCTCTTCAGTTTAGGAGGAGTCAACTACTATAAATAAATATGCCAGGCTGTCACAACACTGGCTTTCAGCTGTATTTCAGGAGCAGAGCTCCAGTGTCCTGATTAATAAGTACTGTCGAGGCTACTCAGCATACTGTTGTTAATTCCCATAGTGCAAACGACGCCTTTTAGGGTCTCCCTGCTTACCTTCCAGCTTCAGCCCTGGCACTCAAGATCCTGCACGCGCAGACGGTTTCCGGCCGGCCGCCTTTCTTCGGCGCGGAATCACCTTCTACCCGAAACGCTCTGCCAACCGCAGGCTCCATCCACCAAGCACCCGCGAGCCCACGGGGCGAGCGCTGCGGGACCCAGGACTTTACCCCGGCAGAAGCGCTTCCTGCCATCCCCACCTCCCGGCTCCTTGGAGGAACAGCATCCCGTAACGTGGAGCACGGAATCTGTCACCCAGTCCTGCAGCCCTGTGTGCGGACACAGACTGCGGCCTCGGCCGGTCCCTACCCGAGAACCTGAGGATCGTCAGGTGGGTGAATGAAAGAGTAACGGCGCATCTCAAAACGACAGCTCAGGACCGCCCGGACGCCTGCACTTCCGGGTGGCACTTGGGAGCCTCCACAGGGACGGCTCTAGGAAGAGAGCTCGGTGGCCTGGAGGACCTGCAGACATACACGTGCCCAAAGCGAGACTTTGACAGCTACGCTGCCCTCCGCGAGGAGGCGGGACCGAGGGGAATCCGGGGCGGGGCGCGAGGCCACATTGGCCAGTTAGCGCGCTCGGTCCGCGGAGGGGCTGGGTTCGGCGCGACAGGGAGGCGGGGAAAAGGGGAGTAACTTTGGTCGGATTTCCTTTGTTTTGGCTTTTTCCCACTTCATCAATAGTGTTTATTCATATGAACAGCTTTACAAATTCGTAGCACTCAATTTGCTTAGCACATACTCATTTACAGCTAGTTTTGAATGGCACGCTGTTACATATTTTAAGCTACTCCAGTTCTATGAGAATGATACTCCTTTAAGAACAGAATGTCTGGAAAATGAATATAATGAACAGGAAAAACTTTCTACATACTGTAGTTCTAGCAACCTCTGCTTACTAAAACTCTGATTTGTTTTCTACTTGGGCTTTTGCTGTTACATAATTATTACTGTTCGTATCAGAAAAGTGCCTAAAGTGATCAAAAGCACCCATGTCATCCTGGGATCGATGGTCAGATTTTCACGGTGATCCTTGATATCAGAAAGGGGACCAACAGTAGCCAAGAAAAATTAAAAAAAAAAAACTTTTTACTTTACACTCTTTCTCTCTCTCTTTTCTTTGCTGTAGGCTAAGAAGCAGCATGCTTGATCTTGTCTCTTTCCACCCTTTTCTCTGAATCTTCATCGTAGGCAGTTGAATGCCTTAAACTTCCATTTGGTGACATCCACCCAAGCCACTCAAAACATAAAACAACACACTGCTGCATAAAGGAGGAAACACTTGAATTCACATATTGAGTTTTCTTTCTCTCTCTCTTTCTTTCTTTTCTTTCTTTCTTCCTTCCTTCCTTCCTTCCTTCCTCTCTTTCTGATACAGTTCAAGCTGGCCTTGAGCTCACTTTGTAGCCCAGGCTGGTCTTGAACTTGCAACAATCCTCCTGCCTCAGCCTCCCAAGTGCTAGGATTACAGGAGTGCGCCAGGATGACTGGCTTCTGTTTTTGTTTTTATTTTTTTGTACATGTTTGTAGTACGGATTATTTTCATCATGGGGAGCTGGTACATGCAAATGACATTTCTTAATGGAGTTTATTTTCAACTTCATTGTAACAAGGCATTAGCAATAATAGGCAGGGCTGTTCTTCATACTGCAGTTAGCATTATCTTATTTCCTTACAATTAAATAAGTTTTTCTTATTCTTTTTCCTTTATTAATTTCCTTTTTCCTTTATTAATTTTTGACCATATGATATATAGTACCGATAACCGGTCACTAAGATGTGGTTCCATGTAACCTTGGGTCTGCTTTTAGACTGTTTTTCTGTTTTTTCACTTCTTGTTGGTCAACTTCCTGCTCTATTTATTTGGCTCTATTATTTTTAGTCTACCTTGTGACTTGGAGCCACAAGAATGATTTAATGACAAAACTATAAACGCTAGTCTGATGTGGTGGTGCACACTTGTAATCCTAGCGTTCTGGAAGGCTGAGGCAGGAGGATTGCAAATTTCATTCCAGCCTGGCCAATTTAGTGACTTGGAAGACAGGTCTTGAAATTTAAAAAAAAAATGGTTGAGGGGTGCTGAAAATGTAGCACAGTGTGAAGGCTCTGGGTTCAACTCCCAGTACTGCTCAGTCCCAAATTATACAAGCTCGTTGTAAACAAACTTTGTGATCAATTGCTGATAAGGGGGTGCTTTCCTGGCTGGGGTGAGAAGTGACTGCCCTACTGGCATCTCTGAGATACCAATTGCTTGATGGGAAATCTAACATGCATGAGTAATGTTCCCTTTTATTTTCCACTTACTTTTCCTGAAGTCCAAACAATGTATTAGTTTTTTAAATTTGCTTTGTTTTGTTGGTACCGCGATCAAACTTACAACCTCGCACTTGCCAGGCAGGTGCTTGTGCCACTGAGCTAAATCCCAGCCCCAAATTTATCAGTTTTTAAAACCAATTATAAATATTAAGCTGCATGAGTCCAGATGTCCTATTCCTTTAGCAAATTATTTGTAGAAAAATGAGTCTAGAGTTACTCTAGCGCAATTAAGGAGAATGTTCTTGGTCTCTGCCTCCCTGAAGGTAACAGTTATAATTGTTATTTTATTTTTATTTATTTATTTAGTACTGGGAATCAAACTCAGGACATTGTGTTTGCCAAGAAGGTTCTTGTGCTACTGAGCTATATCCCCAGCCCAGTGGTGTCTCTACCATAGGTAGTATGATCAAAATAAATGGTGGATATTTAAGTTAAAAATGTATTACAGCAAAAGACATTTTGCTATGAATCCTTCTGAATACTTCCTGGCTTCTAATATATTTATCCCATTGTTCTTGCCATTGTCTTTCTTTCTTTCTTTCTTTTTCTTTCTTCTTGAGACAGGGCCTTGCTGTGTAGTTCAGGCTGCCTTGAACTTACTATGTAGCCACACTGGCCTGGAATTTATGGTGATCCTCATCTCTCAGCATCCCGAGTGCTGGGACTACAGGCATGCACCACACACCTGGCTCTTGCCACTTTCTGAAGTTCTTTTAATGAATGATTTTACAAGATGGGATACTCAGATGCTGCTGAGTATCATCAAAATAAAAGCAGGCTCTTAAAAATATGTGTCCTTAGGGGGAGAACCAGCAGCAGCTCCTGAGATCCGCACCATGTTGGAACTTAGGACGCTATGAAACCAAACAACCAGCCTGCCTCCCTGCTAAGCAATAGTGAACCTACTGCTACATGGCCTAGAGTCAAATATCCCACTTCCCCTATCCTCCTTCTCCTCCCCCGTCCCGCCCCTTAGCACATGGGAACCAGAAATCTGAGTGTCTCCTGGGAGGTTGACCATAGCAAATAAGGGGGACTTCCTTCTATCATCTCTTTGAAGGCAAATATATTTTTATTACTCTTTTTCTCTTTTCTGATTAATGGTGCTGCTCTATTCGATATTCCGTTTTGGTAAGTTCTATAGTGTTCTATATTTCATCTCATTTTGATATACGTGATTGAAAGAACAACTATTATAAAGATAACAAAATATACTGTGATACCTATTACTGTTATCCCGGTAACCTGCTGTGAAGTTCTGTATCAATTTCACTGTACGATCTTAGTTGGCTTTATTCTGTCTTGTTCTGTTATATACTTTCAAAATAAAATTTAAAAAAATATGTGTCCTTAGCTGGGCATGGTGGTTCATGCTTGTAATTCCAGCACTCAGGAAGCGGGGCAGGAGGATTGCTGCAAGTTCGAGGCCAGCCTGTACTACATAGGGAAGCCCTGTCTCTAAAAGACAAAAACTAACAAACAAACAAAGCCCCATATCCCCCTAAAACCCTGTGTGTCCTCATCTACTTCATTCACCAGACTTGGTACCATTTGACTTCTGGCTTCTCCTCACAGTTAAAATGACCATGAAAGGGGAATGTTTTTAATCTTTTCACAATATTGAGAAAGTCACAACAGCATGACCAATGACATTTATGAAAGAGACTTCCAGTACTGCTCCAGAAAGTGGCAAGAATGGTGGAATAGGGGCTGGGGATTTAGCTCAGCGGCATAAGCACCTGCCTTGCAAGCCTGTGGTCATGAGTTCGAGCCCTGGTACCAGTAAAAATACAAAAAAAAGAAAAGAATGGTGGAATAATTGTACTCAAAGTGAGGGGAAGAATTTTGAGGAGGATTCATGGCAATGTGCCTTTTAATGAAATAAATTTTTAAAAATGTAAACATTCACTGTCATACCTTGTGCTTAATGGTGCCATACAGCTTTTTAATATTTAAATCTACTAGTAGCTGCCGTGTGTGGTGGCGCATACCTGTAATCCCAGCGTTTGAGAGGTTACAACAGAAGATCACTGTGAGTTTGAGGCCAGCCTAAACTACACAGTGAGATCCTGTCTCAAATAAAACAAAAACAATAACAGGGGAAAAAACTCTACTAGTCACATTAGATTAGCCATCCCCACTGTACTTACAATAACAAAGGAAAGCAAGTCTTAATGGTGGTTTTGCTTCAGAACCAGAATTGAAATAGGCATTGCAAAGATGCAGACTTGTAGCAGCAGCAGGATTGGCTCGTGAGGATTTAGCTCCCCATAGTCTGTTAGCCTCCCCTCCCTTCAAGCACCTGAAGTATTCATAGTCTTACTAAAATCAGAGCACCTGTGAGCTGTGCAAACCATGCGGAGCCCAGGAAGAGAGCCAAGCCAGTTTGCCCTTCCCGTGAGTTGGTAGAAGTCATGCTGGGTCTGGGAGGAGCATAACAAGAAGTCAGTTCACCCTTCCCATGAGCCTACCAGCATGCAGGCTGAATCAAGAACACCACACCTCTTCCCTCATCCCAGTAAGCAGCTGGCTGATTTGGAGGATGGGCTGAGTTGATAGCAACTGAGGTACAAAACAACTTAATGATTATGTTTGATTTACTACTTCTTATTCTTTATGTATTTTCTCCCTCTCCATTAGCCCCTCTCAGTATTCACTTTTCTCCTTGTTCTCTCCTATATGTTCCTGTCATCAACTAACATCTCATGGGATCCCCTCTGTACCCATTAAAGACTCAAGCTCCACTCTATCTGTGCAACCTTCTACCTTCTGTCTGTTACAGTTGAAGGTTTATTCCAGCATCTGTTCCATAATTCCAGTGTCTTAATGTAATGTATATCTCCCATTCCATTCTGCTTTCTGAGGGACATTGGCGATAACTTCAAATTTTCCTTTTGCCCCAATTATTTTCTGTCAGACCTAAATATAGTCAGGGCTCTTCTATTAAAATGACCATGCTTCTAG